GCTGCTGGCGGCGCAGCTGCTCTTCCTCCTGGAATTCTCTGTCGCGCTGCTGGCGGCGCAGCTGCTCTTCCTCCTGGAATTCTCTGTCCCGCTGCTGGCGGCGCAGCTGCTCATCCTCCTGGAATTGCCTGTCGCGCTGCTGGCGGCGCAGCTGCTCTTCCTCATAGAATTCTCTGTCGCGCTGCTGGCGGCTCAGCGGCTCTTCCTCTTGGAAGTCTGTGTCGCGCTGCTGGCGGCGCAGAGGCTCATCCTCCTGGAATTGCCTGTCGCGCTGCTGGCGGCTCAACAGCTCTTCCTCTTGGAATTCTCTGTCGCGCTGCTGGCGGCGAAGCCGCTTTTCGGGTTCCTGGCGCAGCTGCTCTTCCTCGCGGAATTGTCTGTCGCGCTGCTGGCGGCGCAGCTGCTCTTCCTCTTGGAATTCTCTGCCGCGCTGCTGGCGGCTCAGCTGCTCTTCCTCCTGGAATTCTCTGTCCAGCTGCTGGCGGCTCAGTGGCTCATCCTCCTGAAATTGCCTGTCGCGCTGCTGGCGGCGCAGCTGCTCTTCCTCATGGAATTCTCTGTCCCGCTGCTGGCGGCGCAGTGGCTCGTCCTCCTGGAACTGCCTGTCCCGCTGCTGGCGGCGCAGCTGCTCCTCCTCCTGGAATCGTCTATCCTGGGACAGCTGGAAGTTGTTTTCAGGGAGCCGCCTTTCTGCTTCCTGACGGCGTCTCTTCTCTTCTATTTCCTCTCTAAGCAGCCTTTTCGCTTCCACTCGCTGCTCCTCTTCCAGTTCTTCCGTTTGAAATTGCTGGTCGCGCTGCTGCCTCCGCCCGCGCTCTTGCTCCAGGAGAGCGCCCTCCCCTTCCAGTGCATCCTGCTGCAATTGTCTTCCTTGCAGCTGGGACTCTTCCAACTGACGCTCTTTTTCCTCATTTGCTCCGCGTTTGGCGTAAAGCCTGTCATTGCGAACTTCATTTTCTTTTTCTACTTGCCACTGCCATTTCAGATCGCGGCGCGGATCTTCCAGGAATTGTTGCTTCCCGTCCTGGCGCGGAAGGTCCTCATCCTCCCTACACTGCCTGTCGCGCTGTTGGCGCCTCTTTTCCCTCTGAAGTTGTTCCTCCTCTTCAACCTCCTGGGCTAGCCTCTCCCGCTCCAGGCGCCTTTTCTTCTCCTGGTCCCCTCTCCGTAGCTCTTTCTCCTCCTGTGGCAGCAGCTCCTCCTCCGGGTACTGTCGGTCCCTCTCCTCCTGCCGCCGCGGCCGCTCTTCCCGGAGCTGCCCGGGCCGGACCCGTCGCTGGGCTTCGTCCTCCTGCTCCTCCCTTAGTCGTGGCTCGCGCTCCAGGCGCCGCCTTCTCTCTTCCTCCTGCCTGCGGGGCCTGGAGTAGACTGTGTTCTGCCGGGCGTCCGCCTCGCTCTCCAGCTGCCACTGCCACTGAGGGCCGCGGGCCTGGGCGGGGTCCCGGGCCAGGCCCCGCCCCTCCTCCGCGCGCGCCTGCTCTCGCGGCTCCTCCCGCCCGCGCCTTTGCAGCCGCTGCGGCAGCTCCTCCTCCTCACGGAGCTCGCGCTTCAGCTCGGCTCCGTCCCGCCTATGCCCGCGGCGCTCTTCCTGCTCGCCGTTCTCTCCTTGCCGCCGCGCCTCCTGGTCCACGCTGCGGCCCCGCTGCTCCTTCCTCTCCCAGCTTTGCTGCGACGCCTCCTGCCGACGCTCCTTCCTTAGTTCCTGCTTTCGCAACTGCTCTTCTTCCTCCAGGCCCCGGAGCTGCTCTTGCCTTTCCAGCCGCGCGTCCGCCACGCGCTCCCTCTCGCGCAGCTTCTCCCGCCTTTGCTGGGGCTCCTCTTCTGGGAGCTCCCTCCTCAGCTCCTGCCTCTTCCGCCTCTGCAACTCCTCCTGCTCCTGGAGCTCCACCTGCTCCCGTCTCGCTCGCCTTTGCTGCTGCTCTTCCTCGGGAAACGCCTCAAGCTCGCGACCTCGGCGCCTCTGCAGCTGCTCTTCCTCCGCGCGGCGCTCCGCGCGCTCTGGCAGGCCGCGGCTCTGCAGCCCCTGCACCGCGTCGCGGCGTCCCAGGTCCCGTTGCTCGCGTCTCTCCAGCCACTCTCGCTGCAGCTCTTCTTCAGCGAGCTCCCTCCCCTGCACCGTCTGCCGGCGTTCATCTTCGCGCGGTCTGTCCAGGGCTTCGGATCTCCTTGGGGCTTCTAGCCTGTGATCTTTTGTGCGCTTCCCCTCGCCTTCGTACTTTGCTCCCTTCTCTTCCTCAAGCTCGGTGGCCTGGTGCAGAGCATAGTAACAAGCCTGAGCCACCTTGAAAGTTAACAGGAGGTACTCATTGAAATTGATAAGCTCATCGTGGTCTCGATCTAGAAGTCCTAAGACCAGATCGACTGTCTCGGGATCACGTGGTTTCTGTGCAAAAAGAGAAAACATGACCATGTCTTATTGACGTGTAACCCACAAGCCTGAACAAATTGCAACCCCACAATCAGATAAATGACCATTCTAGATCCTGTCCTTGTTTTCCCCATGTAAACCATGTGGACATTTCATGTTAAAGTTTTCATTTTTTGGAAATTCTTGGATCTTAGTGCTGACCCAAAGAACACAAATTATCTTGGATGAATAAGAGAAATACAATAGCTATTTTAGAAGATTTGCAGCATTCATTTCTATCTGAAACAGTCTGATTTGAATGTTGTGTTTGAAAACAGACCAAAATATTTACGGTAACATAATTTTACTAGGAAACAGGTTGATTTAAATTCTTCAAATTTGGAATTAAATTTAAAATCCTTCCAAGTCTAATTTGACTTAATATCTTTTGTGATAACTACCCATGAATAGTTTATTCGCATTGCCAGTATGTACATCAAATATTTGCTAGCAACTTCCCTAGTTCTTGGCATGACGATTAAGTGCCTTTGGGATGTAGGATGTAGTGTAGCTCAGTCATGGTGTAAAATGAATAGAAAGTCACTACACATGGTTCTAATCTCCTGAGAAGAACTTTCATAGGTTGGAATAAATAGACATTGCTTTTTCTGGTAGGTTCTTACCCGGAGGACATCTCCAAATTCCCTTTCAAGGAGTTCCTTTAAGTCTTTCTTGCTCAGAGCTGCCCCATCGCAACCACTGGAGGCATACTGGTTGAAGATGTCAGTGATGTTGAAGATGTTTCTCAGAAGTGGAGACATTTTTTTCTTTCTTAAAGTTCACGTAAACCTAAAACAATAAAATAATCCAGAGTCAACATCCTGTGTCTACTATTCAGAATATTTCATCCATATTGTTTCAGGCAGATTCTTGGATAATTTGTTTTACACGAGTAGCTTTCAACAAGCATTTTCAAAACATTTAATATGTAAATATTGTACTCCAGAAAGGGAAGAGATATTGAGAAATTTCAAGCCAGGGAATAATCTCCAGACTATCCTGAAGACTGCCCTGTCTGATTATTCGGTTTTTTACTCTCTACTCAATTCAGATTGTGCATTTTCCTTCTCCATTTTCCAGCTTAAAAGTATTGATCATTCAGTGCTTCAGTGATTGACTGAAAGCACCAAAGTTCAAACCCACCAGCCACTATATAGGAGAAAAATGTAGAAATTGGCTTTTCTGTAAAGACGTCTAGTCTTGGAAACAATATGGGGCAGTTCTCCTCTGCCCTTTCTCTTGGCCATCACGTCAATTCTGACTCAGTGACCTTGTAGGGACAGAGTAGAATTGCCCCTGTGGGTTTCTGAGAGTGTAACTCTTTGTAGGAGTAGCAAGCCTCATCTTTCTCTCACAGAGCAGGTGGTAGTTTTGAACCGCTGAGTTTGCAGTTAGTAACCTTATGTGTAACCCACTATGCCACAGGGACTCCTTATTCTGTCCTACAGGGTGGCTAAGAATCATATTTTACTCAAAGACATTGAGTTTAGGTTTTTGATTTTTTAAAATCTCCCAGCTTTTCTACTGTCTTTCAGAGCAGACAGTGAACATAGTAGTAAGGAAACTTAAACTTAATACATTTCTACTCACAAACAGATTCCTCTCATGTTGAACAAAAAAGGTTTAGTGGAAGCCAAAAGGTGTGAGTGAAGGCTTAAGAGTATCTTAAAGACAGACAGAACCTATGTACAATTAAATGTGATAGCAAAACATATGGGACCAACTAGAACAATGAGAAGGGAATGTGAATTAGTCCCCAACATTATAGTCTAATAGAGATCTAGAAGTATAACTCATAAGTCACCTGTCCTATAATTAAACTCTTCTTTTTACTCAAAACACAGATACACAATTCAGAAAACAAAGAATACATCTTATATGCCGTTGAATATAAGATGCCTTTGAATATAAATTGAATATGTAACAGATATTCAGATATCAAAAGCATCTGCTAGGTTCTTCCTGATTGGAGCCAATAGATCAAATTCAACCAGGGAAACTTTGAATACTACTGGTGTTGTGGCTAGCTTTTGTTAAACCCAAATATACCATTTGGATCTTGACATTAAAAAATAAAGTGAAAAACAGCACCTAGCCATTAGCTGATCGAGGTTAAAAACGTTCATTGGCTGGGCAGGTTTCGATGCTATGTTACATGAAAACAGTGCGTTTTCGGTAAAACCACTATATGAAAAGAACTGAAGCTTGACAAACTCTTGAGATAGACCCCGTATTTTTTCCTTCATTCTGAAGATGAGCTTCAGCAGAGTCCCCTCTGATCCAACCCCAGCTCCTGACATGCAAAGGATTCGGAGTTCAGAGCCTTGGGAGAAGAGTTACCTCTCCACTCAACTAATGGCTTCAACCCCAAGAAGACGGACTAGAGCTCGGATGTCAGACACACCTGTGAGTCTGAGCCCTTCTGGTTCAGAGAAACTACCCCTCGGCATCTACACCACCTCGAAGATGAAGACTTGTACAAAACGAGACTTACCCACTGCACCAGAGGAGGAAGGCAAGTGCTCACTGACACCGCTGGCAAGGGTACTGGGTAACTGAGAGCAGGGCCTTTTATAGGGGTTTCAATTGTGCCCTGGAGAGCAACTTAGGAAGGAGACACCCACGCTGTGGGTTGGCCTGATTCATTTTTAGCCCAGCCCAGTTCCACCTCTGTCTCCACGAATGCCTTGTTTATCACCCTGGTTGCTCACGTAGCTATTTGGCACGAGGTTCACAGGCCTTACCTCCTGACAGTTAGGGTATTGGCCCCACCTAACACGAAAGTGGAGAGAACATTTGGCAGCATCTCTTAATTTTCTTTCATTCAAAATTATAAAATTAAATAAGACAAAGAAATTTGATGCTCAGAATCTTCATTGATTATGACTTCATAACAAATAGCATCTAAGCCATTTATTTTATAAAAGATGTAAGTTGGGTTTAAGCAGAAGCACTGACATAAACGAATTGGAACCAATTAATTGCTCAGCCCATGGGGAACTGCTCAAGACTCCTGCTGGAAACATTCTAGGACAGTGAAAGGGAATTGGTTTAGTTTCTTATATAAAAATGCAAGCGGGGAAATTTTCACATTTGTATTCTTGGGATTTACAATGGTTTTCTTATAGAATGAGGACTGCTTCCTTAGCAAACTTTTTTTTTTAATAAGGAAACTTAAAATCTGTGAAAATTTATTCTTAGGAATTTCACATCTAAATGAAGTTTGGACCATTTTGGTTTTTTTTTTTTTTGGTCTTTAGTATATTGATGCCCCTGGAGAAAAAGAGCTGCTGTCATGGATTATTGTAGATCTAGTCATCCCACATTACTAATGATTATAACGCCTAAACACTTGAGTCGGCTCCTGCTAGAAGCGCATTACGGTCACCTGTCCTAGCCCATTATATTTGTCAGGGCTTTCTCAACCCAGGACATTGTTTGCACACCTCAGTGTGGCTTTTATTGTAAGGAACTGGGTTTGACTCCTGGTGGTCAGCGACTCCCCCCTTACATTTCAGACTATCTGAAACATTGGTTCACAGTCGGTTTATGACGACTATGAAATGATTCAGTGACTTCTCACCATTTCTGCATTTCGGGCTCCTCCTTTGTCCAGAGAGAGGCAACTGCTGCCTTTCTGCATTTGGAGGTGACTTTGTAGGACCCTTTTGTGGAATTTGAAGATCTGTAACTTCTAATCTTCATAGCTATTTCTTTGTCTGCACATTTGTCCATGTGATGATGGCGTTCATGAGCCCTCCAGATGTGGGGGAAAGAAGAAGGCAGGAGTAACAGGAGAAGGGACAGCCATCCCAAATCTGGCTCCTGACTACGCCTTACAGACTTCCAAATGTTGGGATCAGTTAATAAGCTTGATGTGGTTCCTTCGTGTGAGGAAGGAAGCATATACATATGATAGTAGGCTCTATGAGAATAAAGAGAAAAACATCAATAAGAATTCTGAAATCATGGCTGAGCAAGCAAAACAAATATGGAGATAAACCTTAAAGGACGATGCTTCTGAGCAATCTTTGGGGTGGTGGTGGTGTGTGTGTGTGTAGCCTGACATTGCATCTGTGGTAACAGAAAAAACTATTTTCTCTTTAGAATGAAGATATATCTTAAATTCAATGACAGCTTTTCTTACCCTTTCTTAATTAATATCAGTACAATATAAAGGAAATATACGACATTTTTTACAAAACTTAAGAGAATCAGTCTTCTCTTGTTTGCTCTTCTTGGACCATTATCTGAAAGGTTTTTAAGTAGATTCAAATGTTGTTGATTTTCCTTCCTAAAATCTGGTTTGATACTTCCCCTAACAAAGTGGTCCTACAAAATGTTCTTTTATTATACAGTGCCATTAGTTAAGAAAGTTGAGTACAATTCGAAATAGAGTCCCTGTTATGCAATTTGACATAATTTTCCTTTTAAAAACATTGGTAAATGCTGGAGAATATAGAAAATTATTAAGTTCTGGCAAATTGGTTCAGTTAATTTTTAACAGCTGGGAATTCTTGAAATCTAGAGGTTTCCACTTATGATGTTTCATCAAAAAAGAAGGGTATTTTATAATCTGCAGATCTCAATCTTTTTGGAATAGACAAAACGTCTCATTATCTTTCTTTTATAAGTCTGGAAATTGAGGCACTGAAAGTTAGAGAACATTCCTGGCTGACCTAGAAATGACCCAAGTGCTTCTGTTTCATCTATCAAGGGCTTAGGCTCAGCTATAGGATCATACTCTTACTTGGCTTTGAGGCTTGGGCTCTTTATTACATAGAGAAGGAAAAGAGAAAATGACATATTATGAATATGCTTTAATATTACTGTGTCTTAAAACTTCCATATTGCTGGAATCCAGACATGGGATTCCGCTGGATTAACAAATACACACATACACACTCACCACACAAATAAACAAATACATACAGATAGAAAATACATTGAGCTTTCCTAGTTTTTATCTCTTTCAAGTCCATTCTCATGATCTCTTCTCAAAAACTAGAAAAAAAGACAGAGGCTTTGCATTTTGTGGCATTCCACCAGGCTCGCTCTTGACTTGGCAAATAACTGACAATGTGGGAATTTAAATAAAGCAGAGAAAGTTCCAATGAAAATTTAGTTGATTGGACTTCTCCAGAACCCAAGGTGAGCCACCTGGGGAAACACTATAACAGGATGGTTTTAGATGATGGTGGGAGAAATAAGGTTCTTTGGCAAGCTCGGTTAGTGCCTCTTCAAAAAAAATTCTTTAAAAATTAGGTACTCAACATTCAAAGTTTTTCTATTGCTTCCTTTCACGCACTAACTCCCTAGGATCCTGTTTCTGTCATTTATTCATTCAACTCTTCTCTAACACTTACATAAAATAGTCTTCTAAATAAAAAGACCAAGCAACTCCCCCAGCATGCAGAGTCAGGACCGTACAGTCAAGCACTAGTTAGTGTGTGATTTCCCTCTTCTCTAATTTAATGGATCCTGATTGTGTCTTCTGGATTCGATGTTCAGTTCTTTGAAGGCAGCACTCTATCTTTATTTCGACTAGGCCCTTGCTGATGCACTATCATTTTATTGCATGCTGGCAGTTTGCATGGCCACCAGGTCAGAAGAACATGAGTTAGACATGGGGCGTCTGATCTGGGAGGGAGTCCTGTGGGTTTGGGTGCTGGCATGGCACGAGGGTGTGCATCATGGGAGTCAGCACTACTGGGGCCTCTTTCCAGTTTCACCACTTACAGGACATATGACTGAGGAGGCAGCACTCCACC